CAACCCTGTGCTGCTGCTGCTGCTGCTTCTCTCTGCCTCATCCTCTATTGCTGGAGGCAGCTCCACCTCATCTGATCTCTGATATGAAAGCAATCGTGTTATGATCATATTGAGCTAATTGGTTGTGAGTCTAACATTAAACAAGCAGTCTCCTTGTCATACATTGCTGACGATACATTTAATTTGGTTGAGTCACTGCCGCTAAATGCCGGTAGCATCAAGCTAGCAAATCCTGCATTAGCCTCACATCAACAGGTGTAGGACAGAACATCCAATTATCCTGAGCTAATTTACTGAATAAACCAACTCACATCTCCTGTCTTTTTTTTCACCCAACTCATTAGACTATTCTTCTGCTGGCGTTTCATTGTTGTTTTCTGTCAAATTCAATACTGTAGTTCAAAACCGCGGTACCTGCTCCACCATCTGTGAGCTATTTTTTAAGAATGCGCACGCTACGTTCGTTGTCGCGTTCGCGCACGGTCCACCTGGGCAGGTTGTGTTTGTCCTTCTCTCCCGTGACGATAACGGCTTGCGGTTAAAAAATAAATAATAAAACCGAAATTTGAAACTGGGGGGGCACAAAGCGGGCAGACAGCAGAGCTCGGGCCAATAAGAAGATTTGTTTGACTTTTTTTACACTTTGTTGTCTCCTCCTTTCCTCCGCTCTTGTCTCTGATTGTGAGTGTGTGCATTTTGTGTGTGTGTGGGGGGGGTGGGGGGGCGGATTGCACATTGGATAAATAACATGGCGTTTTAGTTGATTTAATAAAAGAGCACATATTCAAATGGAAAGTGACCGTAGATAGATTACTTCAGTTGCATTTGGTGCTATATATATTTAAAAAAAACAACACCTTGAATTTCAGACAGGGCCCGCCAAGACAATGGTAGGGGAAACACTGGACACTAAATCCGCATTTCCACTACAGGGTTTTACCGCGCCTAGGCTCGCTCTTTTCCTCTAAGGGTAGCACCGGCTATCTGAACTTTTTTAGAACCACCTCAATCGAGGTTCCAAGCAGGCTGAAAATATGCTTTAGCTAGTGACGTAAAACACTGGCGACCGCTGATTGGTGGGAGAGAATCGTCACAATTCTTGCGCGAGAAAGTCCTCAAGCGCCATTTTTAAAACAGACGAGCTACCGTCAGCAAGTGTTTCTAATTTCAACAAAGTATTTTTTATTTCAACAAGGTACGAGGTACAGATGTTCCTCCATCTCGTTAAAGATACAGCGGGAGCTCGACAGCACAACGCTAAAACTAGAAAGTGTACCAGGAGTTCTATTCACCGTTGGCCGCACACGGCTTCACGAGGACTTTCCAGCAGTTTGGAGAAAAACAAATAAAACTGAAGAGTGATTATGTATCCATCAAGGACCACAACGGCCGGAGTGGTTCCAGTAGGAAAACACGCCTACTAGGGCTGTCCCGAATACCATTTTTCGGGCTCCGGATATTCGGTAGTAATCGGCAGCGAATATTCGGCCCGCGCGGGGTAGTAATCAGCAGCGAACCGCTTCAACACGTGTATTTCGGTGTATTCACGGCATTCAATTTGTTATTCTACAGTATTGTTGTTTTAGAGTTATTTGTTAATTTAACCAAATTTGTGTTCTTTCTTTGAAATTGAAAAGGATATCACATTGTGTTTGTTACTTTCGTTGCAGTTGTACATGTCCTATTTATGGACATGCTTTTATTTTGAAGGAGAGGTAGCGCTGTTGACAGGAAGTTGTTGTTGCTATGGAAACAACGTGACGGAGATTAACGGAGAACAGTAATATCTACATATAAAGACGGAGAAAGTAAACGATAACGTTTATGGTTAAGTGTTAGCATCCCCCGAACAAGCTCTTACGTTGATATTGGAGGTTTCAATAAATTCAAAAAACGGGATTTAAAAAAAAAAAAAAAAATAAAAATATCCGAATAACCAAATTGAAACCCGAATAGTACTCCAACAAACGAATATTCGGGTACAGCCCTAACGCCTACACTGCGTGGTTACTGTTGGGGAATAATTTTCCCTGCATGTCCTCCTTCGCCCTCTGACGCAGCCGACCAGCCTTGAGCAGCCTCATCTCCCGTAAGGAGGGGCTGCCTTAGCATATTGTTGATGTTACCAGTTTGTGACCGCCGGGCAACTGTCGGTCAGAGATAGTTATTGTTGTGGGACACCTGGAACACATCCTTCTCGGGGTGTAGATGACCCCGGAGCCATAAGCGACAACAAATGTGATTCAGTGTCCTCGGCTGTTTAGTCTATCTATTGAAGACTGTTGATTATTACACTCTGAACTAGTTCAAATTACGATGGCCAGTCAGGCAAACATTACATGAAATCATTGGAAATTGAAGATCAGGCTCGATATATGGTTAAATTAAAATCAGTAGGCGAGGCTGTAATTTTACTCCGGCTGTTACTCTCATGAGCGAGGCGGAAAATAATGGTTTTATCATGCCAACAAGCTGCTGTGTCGTTTATTGCACCTCAAACATTAAAACAAATCCAGAGTTACGTGTTTCTGTACTTCCTCTAAGAACAAAGGACAGTAACAGAAGAGCTCTGTGGCTTCAGGCTCGATCGCCATTCAAATGACAGCGTTGGTTTCCCCCAAAAGTGGGCGGGGCCGTAAAGTCACATAGATGTTACTCTCATCTATGGACATCGATCGCCTACTGCTATATTTAACCATATATCGAGCCCGATCGTCGATTTCCAAAGGCTTAATGTAATTGTTTGCCTGTCTGGCCATCGTAATCGCGCTCTTTGAAGATCCAAAAATCCACCGTTTTCTTACATTTCTGATCGGATTGGCAAAAACTTCAGAATTTGTATTGACCGCTATTCAAATGACAGCTTTGTTTCCCCCCAAAAGTGGGCGGAGAAGTACTGTTTGCCCCGAAGTGACGCATGTGTTACTCTCATGTACTCTGTAAAGCACTTTGGAAAGTTGCTTTATAAATAACTTTCATTTATTATTTATTAATTTATTTATGAGTCATTTCCTGGAAAAGATAACTGTCAATACTAAGGTTTTGGAAATAAATCACTAATTCTGATTATTTTGACTGATATTGCAATAGTGATATGATTTGCTTTATTAGAGGGAATATCAATTTGTAAAATGTTATTCACACATTTGTTGAAAAATATAATAAAATATTGACCCAGGGGTAGACATTAAGGGTAAAATGCCACTGGCCCTCTGGGACGGTGGAATTGTATTATCACTGGCCCCACCATTGTAACCACTGGCCCGGAGCATTCATCCAAAAAAAAAAATCAACTAATAATGAAGAAAATTAACACATTTGTTGCTGCAATAGTAATTTATGCACTAACTACATTACTACTTGTACTACAACATTTGAATCATCAGTTCTTCCTCATTTTCCTCAATTGATCATATTTGGTTTATTAAAATAATTATAATTTGGTCATTTTTAAAACATTTCTGCTATTATTATGAGTATTATTATTTGTATAATGCGCTTTCTGCCTTCCTGTCATTAGGAGTTAGAAATGTAATGGCTATGTAATAGATTAGATTAGAACCTTCATTCTCCTAAACTGCTGGGACATTTCCCTAAAGCCAATACCTTTTATATTTTCTACTCTTCACTTACTTGTCAGCATAGGTCGGCATTGATGTACAGAGCCGACAGAAGACCTTGTTTATATTGGCATCATATTGAGAGGTGCAGTGACGAGTCCTAAAACCAGGAAGTAAGCTGCTGGTTCCCTCGACAAAAAGCAATGGGATTTCTCCATAGGGTTTTGGAAAATAGCTGGAAATAAGGTCTGTGGAAAACAAACCTGTTTGATTAATGCACGTTTTGTTCAGCCGGATAATCTCCACATGTCTCCACATGTCTACCCTACTTTTATAATTTTCGAATCATAAATCTAATCGATAGATTATAAAAGGGTTTTAGGATGCGTCACTGCACTAGAAGCCAACTCCATCGATCAAGCTGGCTGAAACGTTCTCTCCCTCTTCTTCTCATACTCCCTGTCACTCTCCTTTAACTCCTCCGGTGACTTTCTTTTATTTGAAGATTGTTTTTTGCCCGGCGCTTGGCCGGTTAGCGCTGGTATTAAAAACATTAATGGCGAATGGTTAGGTGGCGCGATAGTCTGTAGTGAAGGAGCGCGCTCCCGCTCACGGGAGCCTGCTCGCGCTCCGCAGCAAACAGCTGTTTGCTTTTCACCCTACAACGACAACCGACTCACAAAACGCTATGTTGTAGCGTTAATAAACGAAACAATTTAACTAAATTGCAAGTCAAAATACCAATACCACAGGAAACATTTTTTTTTAAACAATATTTTTAGTGGCCCGAGCGGGCAAGTGGAAAGTACGTTATGCTGGCCCGGGGTGTCTAAATAGTGCTTCCGGGCCAACGGGCCAATTATAATGTCGAGCCCTGTGACCTGTACCAAACAACTATTTTTAGTCTGTAGAATACCGCTTGTAGGTCAGGACTTAATAATATTTGATGCAGAGTGGTATTTTTATATTGTGCTTCCTGCAATTTGGATAATTCACTAGTCCATATTGCGATTTTGATAACATGTGGATTAATTGTGCAGCTCTTAATGATACCTTTGATGGTGAGGTTGAAGCAGCCCAGTCTGTCTCCAGAGAGAGAGTCCGCTCCACACTGCAGAACAACAGCACTCGGCTGGTACATCTCCATCACTTTAGCCATGATCTAACACACACACACACACACACACACATGTTAACACACACGCTCAGAGAAGGAGTGATTGATAATGTAGCATCTGAATAAAACCACTTACAGGTCTGAAGATGGCTTCATACGACTCGTCGTCAATACCGTCTCTGAGCGGGTAGTTTACTGCGTAATACTTTCCCTTTCCAGCTCCGATGTCCTGCACACAGAGGAGATATCATTTAATTACTTTGAGAAAAGATCCACGACTTCAATTCCAGGCTTTTATTGTCCTTTGTGCATAGCTACAGTGTAGTTATGACAATGAAAATATGAGTTCACAGGCTCCACAATAAAACAGTGATCTTAAAAGTATGACTATCGAAGTATGACTAGAACAAGTGAACTCACCCTCAGGTCTCCAGTGCCGGGGAAGTACTCTCCATACTTGTGGAAAGAGACAGTCATGACCCTGTCAGTGGTGTAGAAGGCCTCCTCCACCCCATCGCCGTGGTGGATGTCGATGTCTATATACAACACCCTCTGGTGGTACCTGGGGAAGAAGACCATTGAGTTAAATATATCCTTAGAGGCATTCAAATCCAATATATACCAGGGTAGAGAACAGGCAGCTGGTTCAAGAGGATGTTGCCTTAAGGTTCATTTTGTCTAGAAAGTTATTCCACAAACGATGAGTCGGCTTATTTTTTTTGAAACCATGCATGACTATGGATGTCTTAGTTTTCCTGATTTTAACATCCACTCTTCCAAACAACCTTTGAAAGTGGTCTAAAAAACTTAATTTGGCAATGTCAGCAGCACACTTTTTGAAAGCCAAAAATGCCAATGCAATCAAACAGCCCAAAAGCTCAGATAACAACGTGACCAAATACAGTTGTAAAGATATTGATTAATCAGGAGTAAGCCTTAAAAAGTCACGTATTGTCATATCAGATGTGAAGAAAGCCAGGATATGTGGATTAAAGTCTAATTAAAGTAACATCTTACTTGAGCAGCTCGAGGATGGCCAGCACGATGTCGTTGACGTAGCAGAAACCAGACGCCTCAGACTTCTTGGCGTGATGGAGGCCTCCCGCCCAGTTGATGGCGATGTCTGTCTGCTGCTTGTTCAGCTTCAACGCCCCAGCTAGAGAACAGAATGATACACACACTTTGTTCATATAGCACTAATCTTAACAAAGTGCAAACAACAAATCTTAACAAAAACATAAATACACCAGAGGATAATGTCATGTTAAAGTATATAAAGTGGCCTGAGTGGGTTAATAAAACCCAGCATAATCTTACAGAAAGATATTAACAGTTTAAATAATTGTAGACAGGGCTATACCCCCAGTGACGACTAACACAGGTAGTTATAATATACCTGTAACCTCAGTCCAAGAAATTATAGTCAATAAATGAATAATCCTAATTTAAGAGGACTTTCAAAAACCACGTTTAAGGGCAGGATTAACAAAACTTGATTAACGTCAGGTTTACTCCTTGCAGAGTCATTAATTTGCTTCCTGTGTGAGGCTGGTGCTCCAGGGGGATTGTGGGAGATATGGTTGGAAAACGTACCGACAGATCCACCCGTCGAGAGCTGGCAGAACTCAAACAGGCCATCGAACACCGGACAGTCCTCTCCGACATTGACTGCGAGAAAAAAAGGGACCAATAGATTATCACATGTGGACAGAAGGAGTGCTTCAGTCTCCAATGGATGAAATAACAAACTCTCACATCTCTGCATCTGCTTGCTGTACTCAGACATGTTGTCTGGCCGGATGGACCGCAGGAACTTAATGTAGTCGTCACTGTGGTATTTGGTCATCTCCTCGCCACTGGCTTTGTGTGGTCTCTGGAAACACACAGGAACATGATCAGAAAGAAAGTGACAGCTTTAACATCGACCACTTGTCAGTAGTCATTGTGTTTGTCTGATTGTTAAGTGTAACGTTTTTAATTAGCAAGTGTCTATGTAAAAAAACTAATTCCCAAATTGGGATTAATAATTTATATGATCTAATCCGATCTAGTTCCATATGTTTTGTAGCTTTGATATGTATATATTACTGTGTCTTTTTTAATGCCTGATAACCTGCTGATGCTGTTATAAGAAATGACATCAATCTATCTATCAATATTTAATATTTAAATGCCAACAAGGTATTAAAAATAGCCACTTCAGAGCCAGAAGCCGTCAATAATTAATACACATTTGTGTACAGTCAGCAACCAAGAAACTACCAATGTATTCTTAGTGGAAGATTCAACCCTAGTACAACTCTGACTAAACATCAAACTAAACTGCATTCAACAACCGAAAATAATCTGTTTGTCTCTGCGAATGGATCACTCCAAACCTCACCTGTTTATTAATGGCTACCGGAATATGGGAACACAGGAACACATAAATTGCCATTACATGTATTATTACACCCCTCATAGTAATTAAACAAATTCTACCAAATTCCCCTACACCATTGTATCCACACAACTTAAAACATGATGGTTTAATATTCTCTGAACGAAAGATAAAATGTATGGTTGTAAGTTTGGTGGATTTGTGTGGAGTGATATAACTCACATAGATCTCCATCTTCCTGTACAGTCCATAGTTGAGCAGCAGGTTGTGTGTCATGCGGATCCTGTGGGGTTTCATGGGATGGCCCTGCCCGTAGTAGTAGTTCCCCACATCCCCTTGGAAAGAAGAACACATACAGAAACTATTATCTTCATGACAAACTACATTCAAAAACGTGCCCTTTTATCTGCAATCGTACATACTTAATTTTTCAAAATTGTATAAAACAGGATGAACCAGCCCTTTATTGAATCCACCACTCAAATAAAATCTAGTTTAATTGATCAATTTGCTGAACTGTGACTATGTGCTACTTAAAATATAGGTTTCTCAGCATGTGAGATCGTATTCAAGGACCAGATGGTCAGCATGAATTCTTCTTTAATTTGTATTTATCTTTAGACACAAAGACACAAGTACAAATGTAACCAACATTAATACAAACGATTAAGTGAACACAAAGCACCACACTTCTACTTTCCAAACATACAGTGTGCAGACTTGCACGTTGTTACAAGGGCTAATGCATAACAAAATAGTGAAATGCAATTCAACATAATAGCCCTTATTTACTAGAACAACGATCGCTAAATAACCAAACTGAACACCGGTGCATCGGTCCTCACTTCTCGGAAGTTGGTAGCAATTTGGGGAAACATTTGTGTCATAAGCACCGGGTAAATTAACGACTTTTCTCGTCCCAGTATGACCAAGTTTTCTCACATTCAGATGTCAGACTCCAATTCAAGTTTTGAATTAAGTAAGGAAATTGTTGTGGGTATTAGAGAATTCGTAATAGAGATAAACACCGGGTCATTTTGAAGCTAGCATAGCCTAGCAAGTAGCTAAATCAGGCTGTTTAATCAAAGCTAATGATAGCCTGAAGCTAACGATTGCCTGCTAGCACCAGCTAGTTAGCATTGTCGTGCCGCACATCTTTTTAAACCATGCGTTCAAATATGTTTTACGCACTTTAACGGAAACTTCAATAATACAACAAAACTGATGTTTAAATAGATATATTTACCGTCATAGTAATAGCAAACTTTTTTCTTTGTTCCTTGAGACAGCGCCATTTTACACCAATTAGCACACACTCCTGCCGGTTCCTCTCTCTCTCTCCTCACCAGGCAAGGCAACTAGCGCCGAGCTCCGTCCACCAATCAGAGGCGAGCACCCGGCCGGGTGGGAGGCGCCGGTGTTACAAACAAGCACCCCCGAGGTTGCAGCTACAACTAGACGTCTAGACTGGGGCAGAAATGCAGGTATTTTGTCTTTAATTCAATGACGCAGAGATAGTATTGTAATTTGAAGTCCCCAGCCATTCATAATCATTTTTTTCAAGGTTCAAGGCTTTTATTGCCATTTGTACATAACTACAGTGTAGTTATAGCAATTAAATTCTTAGGTCACTGACTCCTCCAACAGTGCAACACCCAGAGAACCGCAGTGACGCGTCGTAAAACCCGGAAGTAAGTTAGCATTTTTAGCACTTCCGGTTCCTTCCTCAAAAAGCAATGCATTTTTTCCATGGGTTTTGGAAAATAGCTCGAAATAAGGTCTGTGGTTGACATAAATTTAAGAGGTAATTGACGTTTTGTTCTACGACATTAAATACATCAGCAGTGACCCCACTGGGGATTTTTGAAGAGTTTACGTGTCTGAAAAACGATGGTTGTTACCGAATGGCTGAATAGGACTACAGAAATGGTCGAGGCCGTTGTACGTCATTACGCCGAACACGTAAACACTCCCGCTAAGTTTGTTTTCCCCTGTTTTCTGCTTGAAAGCAAGTACCTGCCTATCTTTAGTATCTGTATATCTATATCTGACCATTATAATCTGTATTTTTGAAATTGTCGTTTTTAACACCGTAGTTTTACAAATTATAGAATAATTAATTACCAGTGTTTTCCAATTTTACTTGGCAGTTCGTTTCGTTGGCTAACGTTAGCTAAAGCTAGCGCTACTAGTTAGCTACGCAATGGTTTGTTGCTTTGCTCCGGGTTGCAGCCACAGGTCTTCGCATGAAACGTGCTTGTTCTATCGTTTCCCGGCCAATGTTTTCCAAAGGAGAGTCTGGATTCGTGCCATGAGGTAAGCTGACGTTACATTTTTGTCCATGTCACGGTGAAATGTAAATAATGGGTAGTGACTGTATCGCCGTTTAGAGATGGCGCTGCTGAAAAGACCGCAACATAAGTAAAGATAATGAATACATCCTATTAAAACCTGTGTGGCTTATATGATAAGTCTAATTAGTACAAGCAGCATAACGTTTCACCATTTAACTAAAGATTGTAGTCAGGGAAATCAGTTTGACATTTTGAACTAATAACAAATCACCTCTGGCTGGCAGAGAACTCTCTGCTCCATAGCTTCTCTTGGACG